ACTTTTGAAAAGGGCCTATCAACTTTTGTAAATAATTTGCTAGGTCCTTTTCACGAGAACCGAAGTACGCCCACGCAAACCAAGAGCACTATCGGGAAGGGGAGAATTTCCTCTGCCCGATGGTGTTGTTAGTTTGCGTGAGCGTATTCGGTTCGCGCGAAAAAGGCTTAACAAGTTTTTTGTACATAAGTTGATAGACCCGTTTCAAATGTTACGCGAGTATTATTCATGTGTTCATTTTTAGTAAACAGTGCCCCGCTGTAGTGTCACTTTTTGTCGAGTGAGTGAACTCAAATCCATCCGTGCACTCGTCTATTGGCAGACCGTGCTGTAAAGGCTGACTAAAGGTAAATTGGTACGCACAAAAAGACCTGTAATTCGCGATTCAATCAGTTTAAATAGTCCATTAATGGTTGCTTTACCGTACTTTTATTAAAACTTCAAAGCTATAGCATTAGATGGTTACATTACTCCAGTTTGAACGAAATTTCGAACTTTCCTCTTGATGGAGCCCATCAGCGCCCGCACAGTGGAAACGGACACGGAATCAGGGCATTTCTTGCATTTTGCCCGCATTTGCTAGATGTTCTGGACTTCGAATTCCCTGCTTCGTCGAATTCCCTGCTTTGAAATTGCCCAGTAATTTTCGATTGGTCGAAATTCCGGGCAATTCTGAAGATTCATTAGCTTAGGGCAAAGTCGATCTTGTTGGCAGCATACCACTCCAGAACCACCTTGGAGTAGTGGCAGCTGGCCAAATCGGGCCAAAAGATGACTTTTTCCCTATGCTTGCGGAAGAACGGCAATACACGTTTTTTCAGGCATTCTTCGATGTAAACTTGGGATGTAATCATCGAGGATGTAAGGAATGATTCCGTTTTCAGCCCACAACTGCAAATCGCTTGCCGAATCATGGCCTTCTTCGCGAACTTGTCGGCAAACACGAACTTGAATCTACTCGGCACATCCCCACGTCTAGTTGCGATGTAAAACTTTTGACCGGGAAGCTGCTTAAAATCGAGTTTGACGTATGTTTCGTCATCCATCAAAGTGCAGCCTTTGTGTTTCGTCAAAACACGGTCGTAGTTGCACGCTTTTTGGCAACGGAATTCTGCTTCATGTACCGGTTTACTGGCATCGGAAAAGCTGCTGTAGAAAGGTTAATAAGTACCATGAAATCAGCTGAAATGTTCAGTAAAAATGCACAAATTCACACAATGATTTACTGAACATTTCAGCTGATTTCATGGTACTTATTAACCTTTCTACAGCAGCTTTTTCGATGATATATGGTACAATTACACTTCAAAATGGTGCAAAGCGGTGCATACTAAGGAGCATTTTCAAATGCTTAATGTACAGTTTTCTCTATTTTAGGGAGCGTACTTTAAATATTTACTGAGCATTTTAAGATTGTTAAAGTATTTTGATCAATCATTTAAGGAGCAACCCGATCTATTTTAAGGAGATTTTTTTTACTTATTAAGGATAATTTCATCTGTTTTGTTGAGCAAAAGTAGGGCTGCCGAAGTTTAATTGTGAAAGCAGTTGAGGGCAGTCCACATCGCCATTCAAAGGTTTCGCTACAAATAAGGCTTGTTGCATTTTTCTTCTGTGTTCCAATGTGTCCAGGTCCAATAGCATGCATCGGTCTGCATAAGGTGGCAAATTCATTGGATCGCGCCTCGGAAGGCTGCGCAAAGCCAACCTCAAAAATCTTTTATGAACACGTTCTATTCTTAGATTCCTCACTAGCTCATATGGAGACCAAACCACAGGTACATTCTCAAGTATGGGCCGAACTAAAGAGCAACATAGTGCCTTCAAGCAGGTCTTTGAAATCTCGTACAATCTTCGAAATAAATCCCAGTTGACGATTCGTCTTGGAGATGATCGAGGAATAGTGAAGATTTAAGGTCAACTTTGGGTCCAAAAGTACACTAAGATCAGTCACGCTCTACTCTGCGAAGCGTTACATTGTCAATGCAGTAGCCGTAAAGGATTGAACTCTTACAGAGATTAAACGTCATCACTGCACACTTTAGAACGCTGATGATGAGCTTATTGCGACGGCACCAATCCACAAACAAATCTAGCAGAGCTTGAAGACGATGACAATCCTCAATTGAGTGAACTATGACGTATAGCTCAAGATCATCTGCACAAATGAGCTTGCAGTTAACTTCCAACAAAGCTGTTACATCGTTGAAGAATAACGTAGACAAAAGTGGACCCAGGGTACTTCTCTGAGGTACTCCAGAGGTGCTGGTAAACGTAGAAGAGACACAAGATCCTAGTCGTACTCGAAGTCCAGTAAAGTAGGAATGTAACCACGACCTAAGTTGCTCAGACGCTCCTAGTCGGGAAAGCTTGCATAACAAAACCTTCTTGTCAATTTTGTCGAATGTGGCTTTTAGCTCAGTATATATGACGTCGACTTGTGCCTTATCCTCCATCACGGTGATGAGTGCATTTGTGAAATCCAAAAGGTTAGTAGCTACCGATCTACCGGGAATGAATCCATGCTGGTCAGTTAAAATGTAGTTCTTCGAGCGATTCAGGACAAATTCGCTCAAGATGATCTCAAACAGTTAGGACGCTGGTGATACCTAGATAGTTCTTAATATCCCGTTTATTGCCAGCTTATTACGACTGCTTCCACAATGTTGGGAATTTTCTTTGCTCAAAGGATGCATTAAACATGGCTGCTAAAGGTTCTGCTAAGGCAGCTGAGCAACGGCAAGTACCATATCCCAAGTTACTTCGAATGTGCTCAGTTCCACTAAGTTACTAGGCGTATCAGAGGCAGCAGATTCAGCTTCAACGTCACTTGTCATATTTTTTAAAAGACATATGCAAAGTGTTTAGCAAACATCTCACACGCTTCGCCAAGAGAAGTGGACTCTTTCCCGTCGAGTAGCATGTTGGACGGTATACTCGAATCTTTCCTTTTGCTGTTGACAAAGCTCCAAAAATTTCGGGGGTTATGCCGCAAATTTCACTGGACTCTGAAGACGTGTGATTTGTACAAGGCACTGTTGAGTTTAATGTAAGCGATACTGGCACGCTTGAAGTCACGCTTCGTGTCAGCTGTTCTGTGACGACGTAGTTTTCTCTGGACTACGTTACGCTCACGCTTCAGCACTTTAAGCTGAGGAGTACACCAAGCTGGGAAAATTGGTCATCTTTTGAGAGAAACATTTGATTCCAACCAATGTTGAATAATGCTACAGAAACGCACAGTCATCTCATCAACATCAATGCATTCAAACACATCGGCCCAGTCTTGATCAAAAAGATACTGCAGTAATGGGACATAATCAATTTTCTTGAAGTCCAGAAGTTCTCCTCTATCATCCACGTTGCAAGCTGGGTGAGATGGCCAGTCAAGTGGAGCAGGTAGCGACAGAATTAAGGAAGGATGGTGAGCATCAATATGTAAAAGCGTCACAGCGGATTCGGTGATATCGAAATCATTTTCACCGTTGCAAAATACCAAATCCAGCGTGCGACCAAATTCATTTCGGACTGTATTGCGTTGACTGAGATTAACGTAATCCATTCCATCAACGAGAGCAATACTTGCAGCGGTCAGTGAAGATGTTTCGGTGAGGTAGACCCTGTTGTCATCGATTCCCCACTGAAGACGAGGCTGATTATAGCAAATACCTTTCAAACCAGTATTAGCTAATGCTTTTCTAATGTACGAATTTAGTTTTAAAATTGCATGTTTGGTCTCTTTTTTAGAAGTATAATTAGATAAAAAACTGAAAATTTTATCGTGGGGTGAAGTTAATCATGCAGGATTTTATATAATGTAATATTCAGAAGTTAGCATTTATACTTGATTTGTGTTCGCTAAAGAAGAATCTGGTGCTAAAATTTCAACCAATTTTGTGCAACAAACAGTGCTGCAAAATCTCGACAATACACGGTGATATTCTCAATTTTGCTTTGGTCACTCATTTGAGCTAATAATCATTGTTAAAGCAAACTATGTCAATTGTAAGTGACAACCTAAGTAACATTTCTGGTTTTATGAGGGTTCTGTGACCCATGATTTAGACTTGTAGGATGATTGAAAGACTCGATAAAACTTGCAATGTTGCTTGGGTATGCTGTCAATGACGAACATGTGTTAAATTACATGGAGCCGTTAAAGCGAACAAGCATCTACGACCTGAACTGCTTGGATAACAATAATGTGACTCAGAATGCTCGAAATTATACTTTTTGTTACCAGGTGAATCTTAGTCATTGACGAAAAATGAATAAGATTGTGACGAAGATTTTTTTGAGGTTCAAGTCTGTCAGTGACTATGCGAAAAATAATTTTGTCAATATCGCGCGAAAGTCTGTCAATGACAAAAACAAATCTCAGCACTGGCAGCATATTTTAAAGCAAATTAATTATAAATTTGCCTAAATGTAGGCAATTAACAGCAGTTTTTCACATAACGATAGCGATGCGTTCAGATTCAGATTCAGCGACCCACAATTTAAGTAAAATAAACAATTTCGCCGAACACAGCCCCAGGATTAATGCTGATTATGATCGGATTTGGAGCAAAAATTTAAAGTTGCTTATTTTATCACTTCAAATTGCATCGTTTGATTGGGAAAACGTTTCAAAAGTACTAAATGTTTTCAAAACTACTCATTCAAATATCGAAAAATTGTCTTATAAAAATATTATGAAAAAGGATTGTTGTGAATCTAAAATTGAACGATGCAGTAATCAACTTCACCCCGTTTTACGGTAATTAAATGTATCATAGTTTGAAACATGGGCATGCAAAATATTGAAATTGAATCCTCACGGGGTGGGCTGTAGTAAAGTAATTTGTAATATCACATATGTCCAGTTCACCAGCAGCGTCGGGAGCTTTGATAGTCGTATAAAAACTGTACCATTGACAATGGAACCGTATGCAAATCTTCATTCCAATATCCTAACCCGCTCTATTGTTTTACTCCTTCCTACCGGATGAACCTGGCAGTCGATGCAGCGCCTACCGATGGACCAGAACGGCTCATCGCTGGAGCAGAGCCAAGACCAGCCACCACATATAGTACCTGACCATAGAGGAAACCTACACATAACGGTGAAGAAGTCGAAGCCCATACTCGGCATCGCGATCGAGGGTGGGGCCAACACCAAGCACCCACTGCCGCGGATCATCAACATTCACGTAAGCGGTCGTTCTAATCGTTTCGCTGTCAACATTCTAATGGGTGATTTTGCGATCATTTTCTAGGAACACGGGGCAGCGTACGATGCAGGTGGACTGGAGGTAGGCCAGCTGATACTGGAGGTCGACGGAAACAAAGTCGACGGGATGCACCATCAGGTTCGTATCGAAATTGGGCTAGTTCGCCGTTTGGATCCATCAACTGTTTTGCCATTTTAGGACGTCGCCCGACTGATAGCGGAGTGCTTCGCCGCACGCGACAAGAACGATATCACGTTTCTAGTAGTCGAAGCAAAGAAATCAAACCTAGAACCGAAACCAACAGCATTAATATTTTTAGAAGCATAGCATTTGCTATCCCTGCCGGCTAGCGATCCGGATAATTCTGAAGTGCCAGAAAAAGGGATCGACCTTACCGCTGATAAATTGAAGTAAGTTTTCTTTTCGGTGTTCGTTATGTGTTCGTTCTGTTGCGGTTTTCTTTTTTTTTCTAAGCTCGTTAAGTTCGGTTTTCTGTACTATTGTTTTTCTTTTGTTTGAAAATGGGAAAAGTTTGCGGAACTTTTTTTAAAAATTTCGATCTGAGACCGTAAAGAGTATCGCCAACTTTTCCCTGTTTTTACGCAAGTCTTACGTTTTTCCATGAGTTCTTCTTCAAGTCAAAAATAGCATTAACGAAATACGCAAACTAAGACAAATTGTAAAGACTATAAGCTGGAAGAGCTGTTAAAGAAGCCAAAAGGTGTTGTAATTTAGAGCGTGATATTCGTAAAATTTACTCAGAAGTAATGTTACAATTAATAAGCAAAGCAAACACAAATACACTGCCGTACTTATAAATGTTGACACTCTTGCGAAGGAAACGAGGAAAAACTACACTTCCCCCACTTTCCTGCTATACTAGATGATTGCCCTAAAGTACTCTAAAGTTGCGTTCTGTTGTTGTTCCAAACTGTCTACACACAGCTAGAAGAGTGTATTCGTGCTACTTTCCTTGCCCTACTCCTAACCAAAAACAAAGAAACAATCAAATTTGCGTTCAGCTGTTTGCACCAAACTGACAAAAAAAAAAGCACAAAACTAATGCTGTTTTTCCTCACTGTTGTATTTCTATTGTTTGTTATTAGTTTTTAATTGAAGTTTTTAGTTCCAAAAAAAGAAAACAATCAGCAGAAGAGATAAGAAAGAATTCTTTATTCGCGGTAATTCAGAGATATTCTAGCCGTCAGGGATGTTAAACCAGGTTAAAAACCAAACACTACCAAAACAAGCAAAACGACAAAACTGATACAATCCTGAACAAATCATCAGACAAACAATTCATCACTTAACAAAAAAAAAAATCATCCAACTCTCTCAAGCTAAACTGAAACGACAAACCTAAACAGAAACAACCGACAAACGGTTCACGTTCATTCGAGAGCGCTTGAGCAACGCTTGAACCTAAGGACGCCTACCGATATGCAACATCATTTCGTCCGACTGAACGTCACTGTCGCTGCTCAAGCGTTCGCTCGGATCGAACGACACACGCTACGATAGGGGTGTGCAAATCGAAAACCAAAAAAAACAACCAATGCCAAGCGAACCGCGGGTAACACAAAAGTAATAACATTTGCAATAACGTGTGTGAGTTTAAAACTGAAAAACTAACTAATTAAAAAAAAAAACTAAACTAAAGCAAAGCATAAAGCGAAAACCTAAATTTGAAAAAAAAATTGTTATCTGTTGACTCGTGATTAAGGGCTTGCGCGTGTTAGGGTTAGATTTTGATTTCGAGTTTTTTCATTGATTTGGAGCTCGTTGTAAGCAAACGAATTTCAGTATCGCTATTAAGTAAAGAATACCATATGCTTGAGGAATACGCCACCCACCCCTGACCGCTCTGACCAACGTCAAACGAAACAGGGGTGGGTGAGCTCCGTTAAATAACTGCAAATAAGAGCTTGTGCGGAATCGATTAAAACTACTGCTTGTGTGATAATTCTAAATGGTTAAGGTACGGGAAATACGCGAAGCCTCACATCCACACAAACACCAACACAAACTCAAATACAAACACACACATACACACACTACGACACGGTAACAAACAGTTTTTAAACAAAAGAAAAAAGCTAATCGTCGAATGGTATGAGTCTAAATACATTAATGCTGCGTTCATTTTTCTGCAATGTGTGCATGAAAATCGAAACGATGTAGCTGATGATGATGATGATGATGATGGTGATGATGATGATGATACAGATATCAAAGTTGGTTTAACCGAATGGAACGTTCTAGGAAGGATATGATTGTGCTCAATTGAGAATGCTTTTTAAACCACATGTATACAGAGAGGTCTTAAGCTAGAAGAATACAAAAACAAAACGCGTGTGCTTTAGTGATTGGCTAGTGGTAATTGTATTTTGCTCATGAAGAAGGGTGCTTTGATAATATTGATATTGCGATGGACAGGTGCGGTTGCGGTGTCGAATCGGGACGCTGGGAAAGGTTGCATTCTTCGTTGACATATCATCAAAGTTTGATTTGATATTCGTGGCCGAATTTCTACTGGTTACAGCGGAGCCAATGTTCGAAAAATGATGACGACAACCTAAAGAAACCAGAAGTGGACTTTGTCGTTCACCTTTTCCTGGAAATTATCGTTGAACAAGGTTTTTTACCATTCATTTTTAATTGCTTTACTACCAGTCCCCAGAGAGCCAATCAAATTTGAGAGAGAAAACTCTCTCTCACGAGCTTAATCTCTCAACATGCCATGTATTTTGATGACACTCAATTTGAGATTTCCCTATCACAGACTTCAAAATAGGGTATCTGACACAGCAAAACATGTTTGGTACCTCGAATTCCCTCGTTTTTAACATATTTTGCACAAAAGATACTTTCTGCCCCCACCCCATTCATAAAACACGGCTGCAGTCCTGTCAGGTGCGGGGCTTAGAAAGTATTTTTTATTCAGAACATGTAAAAAGGAGAAACTTCGGATTTTAATCTAAATGCATATATAGAGGTACCAAACATGTTTTGCACTGTAGTGTCCTCTGAGAACAATGAACGGAAAACAGATTATGCGTAGTTTCCGATAGATGTCATCGCAAACAACAGTATTGACATCTGATGAAAAATGAATGCAGAAGCTTGATAAAATTGTTGGTGTTGAATTTTGTATTCGGACCTCCTTACAGAGAACGCACTGGGTTCAGTTGTGCCGTATATCTTAAAAAATGTTGTCACCCTTCTACTGCTACATAAAATCCAACAAAATTCAATATCGCTTCGGTAGAAACACAAGTGCTAACGAAACTTATGGTTTAATCGCCGGAAATAAACGGCCAGATCCCTTGGCGGGTGAGATTATCAATCCAGAATAAATTTTACACTAATCAATTACAATTTTACTGCAAATTCACGTTTATAAGGGTTTTCTATGGCTTTCGATTTTCCTCTTTTGACATTGATGTTCGCGTTGACGTTTGCTGATCGCGGATACAGGTGGACTCCGATGCGGCGGCACAGCAAGAGGCCTTATCCGCAGTGATGCCAGAGTTGGCAACATCCCCCGATCCGTAACGTACTTTCGGTTCCGCTACCGACTCAACGTTATCATCGGAACACTCCACCCGTAATCTGCACCATGACCCATCGCCTCCAGAACTGGTCTACGAGTTGTCTAGCCATGTTCCAGTTCGTGCGTGTTACTCTCGTCTTCTCAGCTAGTGCCCTTGGAGGCTGTGCTACTCCACTGGAACCAAGCAAGATGAAGTGGTTCGGTGTCAGCGCTTCCTGATTAGAGTTCTCCAGAGGGATGAACGTGAGAGGTCTGGAGTCCACAATCGGTTCCGCGTCCGCGACCACGGTTAGCAACGTTTCATCGTCCGGATTTATGTCGCTCCAGAACGATCCCATCGCTACTTTGACCGATCTTACTAGGCGCTCCCAAACACCACCAAAATTGGGAGCGGATGGCGGGTTGACTACCCACTAGAGTGTTTCAGCGTTGTATGGGAAAAAGTCAAAGTCTGGAATTTCAAACGCTACCCTCTGGAATGGTAGTTTGGGGGGTCAGAATCACCCTGCCAAAATTTGAAGTCATTTGGTTCACGGGAAACCCTCGCTCAAACGGCTTGAAGTTTGTATGGGGAAAATCGACAAAATGTATGGGGGAGCGAGCCACTTTCACATTCGCGGCTCTAGGTGGCGCTGTAGTGGGTCGATTTTCTTCGTGTACAAAATGTAGCACCTTTGGAGTATTGGGAACATCTTGGCTCAAGACCGGATGTAAATCCGAGTTACCCCCGAAAAGTTATTAGCGTTTCAAACGAACACCACCTGCTTCACTTCTGGGGAGAGCCTAACGCGCTTGTGCAGTTTTTATTTTTACGAACATGTATACGAATAGCAATGTTTGCATAGGTATAACTTTTTTGTTTAACCATGAAATTGGTTGAAATTTTCACAGTGAGTAGAAAAATGTTCGAAATTATGGTCTACTAAAAATAGGAACAGATTGGCCAAGTGGTTCCGGTTTTATTCCGGGTTTCCGAGAGGCCATCGGGGGGAGAAAAGGTACCAGTCGTCTACAACAAGGTGGTGCTGAAAATCCACAGCAACAGGCATCTATGGGTAGTGCTGATTAATATTTTAACAAAATCAACCCATAACCTGGTTCTAAATACTGAGCGTCCACCGGAAGGCCTTCCGATGACCCGGATCAACCTTAATCTGGATTATTATGTATTTTTGATCAAAGTAGGCCTTGATTATTTTCTGCAACTATATGAAATGTAGTAAATTAATGATTTTAGATATAAGCGTCTCAATGGCTCCAAGTGGTCACCAGATGATCCGCCGGAAGATCCGAAACATCCGTAAAATTTAGTGCTACATAAATTCGATCAAACTAGGCCTTGATTTTTCTCTGCAACAATGAGAAATGTTGTAAAATGGTGATTTTTTATGTGTTAGCTGTTCAATGGCTCCGAGTTATCACCAGATGGTCCGCTGGTAGATACGGAACATCCGTAAAATTGATTGCTGTGTAAATTTGATCAAAGTAGGCCATGATTTTCCTCTCCAATTATATGGAGTATAGTAAAATGGTGCTGGTCGTTGGATCCAAGTGGTCACCAGATGACCCACCGGAAGATCCGGAACATCCGTAAAATTTAGTGCTACATAAATTTGATCAAAGTAGGCCTTGATTTTGCTCTGTAACAATGTGAAATGCAGTAAAATGGTGATTTTTGTTATATTAGCTGTTCAATTGTTCCGAGTGGTCACGACATAACCCGCTGGAAGATCCGGAAAATCTGATAAATTTATTGCTGTGTAAATTTGATTAAAGTAGGCCTTGATTTTACTCTGCAACTATGTGGAGTGTAGTAAAATGGTGATTTTAGATACATTAGCATCTGAGTAGTCCCCAGATGGTCCGTGAGAAGATTTTACCCATACAAACTTCAAGCCGTTTGAGCGAGGGGTTCCCGTGAACCAAATCACTTCAAATTTTGGCAGGGTGTTTCTGACCCCCAAAACTACCATCCAGGGGGAAGCGTTTGAAATCCCACTTTGTAGCTGAATTCGTAACGGCGCCGGTGGTGTAGTGGTAAGCGTGATTACCTCTCACCCCAGCAGGCCTGGGTTCAATCCCAGTCGGCGCCGCCGGGATGTTCTGAGGCATAACATCTCTGATCACGCCTTCCTTCGGATGGGAAGTAAAGCCGTTGGTCCCCGGTTCATGAGTTGATGGGTCGATAGGTAGGGTCCAGGTGTGGGAGCTGCCTTCCTGGCACGTCGGTAGCATTGGTGCTCAGCACGGAAAACAAGATCGACGGAAAAAACAAACCAAAGGAAAAAAAAAAAAGCTGAATTCGTGAACGTCTCTTGTAGTTGTTTCCCTATGGCTTCAATCACTTCGCGTAGCTCACGGCTGGCTCTCAGAAAATTTGTTCCATTATCTGAATGGATTTCAACTGGTGAACCACGGCGTGCCACGAACCTACGTATGGCCATCTTACAAACTCCGTAGATAGCGAGTGGACGTTTGACGCAACTTCGACCAACTCTGACCTGCATGGGACCGAAATAATCCATCCCAACATAGGAAAACGGACGCACTGTGGCCGCAAGCCGAGCAGCTGGTAGTGGTGCCATCATTGGTGTAGTTGGCACCGCTTTGGTGATTTTGCACGCTTGACAATCTTTCGCTACACGACGAACTACTGCACGCAGACTGTAAACATGAAAACGCTGACGAACTTCATTGTGCGCGGTCTCCTGATTGGCGTGCAGATACTTGCGGTGATACCAATCGACAAGTAGCGTGGTCAACGGATGGTTGCGTGGTAGAATAAAAGGAACGGTGAGCATAAGCGATCGATTTCAGCAAGCGCTCCCATTTGGAAAAGTTCTCCAAGTCATCCACAAACGGCTGTTTGTGATGTACTAAGCAGGGCCGCAACTCTTCGTTGGTCTCAAGCAGTTTCGTAGACGTCCTCTTCGGCCATTCCGACTCTGGGAGATACAAGAAATCTAGGCCTCAGAACCAACGGGACTGGACGTCGGTGCTGGGACCTCTACCCCACTTATTGGCTTCGTCAGCCACATTTTGTTGAGTAGGAATCCATCTCCACTCAGATGCTTCTGTCTTGTTCAGGATCTCTCCCAACTGGAAGGCCACGAATTGTCGGTACCGGTGATGTTGCGACTGAATCCAGACCAACGTTGCCTCATAGTCCGTCCAGAAGAAGCGACGAAAGATAGGGAACGTGTGATACTCTCCCACTGCCTTTGCTAGTCTTGCTCCCAGTAGCGCTCCCATAAGCTCCAGACGAGGTACCTTCAGTGGTGCCACCTTTTCTTTAGCCATCACTAATGTGCAGTGGACTTTACCTTTTATAACAGCCCGGAAGTAAATAGCGGTTGCGTACGCTTCCTCACTCACATCCGTAAAGACTCCACAGAACCTACATCAGCGGCAGAAATTATAATAAATTATAATTAATTATAATTATAAATAAAATGTACAGTGACTCATGGAACTTGAAGGTAGAGCTGGGTTAAAACTGTCTACACACAGCTAGAAGAGTGTTTTCGTGCTACTTTCCTTGCCCTACTCCTAACCAAAAACATAGGAACAATCAAATTTGCGTTCAGCTGTTTGCACCAAACTGACAAAAAAAAAGCACAAAACTAATGCTGTTTTTCCTCACTGTTGTATTTACTGTTGTACACACTTTCTAAGATTTGAAAACCCAGCCAAACTGTTTGAAAACTGTTCGGAGCATTAGACCCATTTCCGTTGCGTTGGCGTAAATTTGACAGTTCGACAATAGATTGAATGATGCTTAAGCATTCTTTATTGAACCTGTTGGTTGCTACCGTTTCGCTTACAATTAATGATTTGCTCTGAGATAACAATGCTTGACGATAGATAAGAAGGGTAACTATATGTATGGCATCTGAATGCTTGGCTCCCGTTTGACAGTTCACATTTGTTACCAATTGACAAGCATGTTGAGTGAGTCCACAGTTTCCAACGTTCACCCACGTTCTAACTAATTTACTCAGATCTGGATTTTCGATGCTACCCTAGTAGCACGCTTGTTGCAAACCAGTATAGGCAACTTTCATGTGACTCATTTCAGTGACAATCAAGTTGCTGCAACTTTTTGCCACAGTTTTGAGTTGCGTTCCGCAGTTTTCAGCTTCAACTGCTCTATGTCATCTTCTTCCACTTGATGTGTTTCCTCATGTTGTTGAAAATGCCCATGTACTTCCTCTGGGAATAGTTAACATTCTGGAACTTTTTTGTCGATTTTGGCGAAAACTTCATGCAATTTCTCCTAAGGCCGATACGTGTAAGTGACTCAAATGATGTAAACGACTTACACGTTTGGAGCCGTCGTACCAAGTGCCACTATGACAGTGCAACCTTCAGCCATCTTCAAGAATAGCTGAAACAAGCTGTTCTTCTTTTAACAGTGCTGCTTCCAGCTGCTGCCCGTATTCTTTGGCAATTCTGGTGTCCCGTAATTGCTCAACTTTGCGACCCTCGAGAGCTTTGAACGCATTCAATTGAGCGCTGGGACTGTCACTGGAAGAATTGGTTCTCATAACAACATTCGTCAAAATCTTATGCAATTTTTCGGCAATAACAAATATTAACGAAAGGTAGTTTTGATGTCACAACAATTGTATAGTAAAAATTAAATTGATTTCTCAACTCGTTATCAGTGAAAAAGTTCGATAGGTTGAAATTCGGAAGCAATTTGAGAGTTCTGTTTTTGAGGTGCTCTGTCGGCTTCCTGAACGATATGTCTTGGATACAAGCTCTAGTAGAATGTTTTCCTCGATGTTCTTGGAGATGATAGCGGTGCGGAAATGAAATGTGTATTAGGGAAAATACATCAATCACAAAAACTGAGCATGACGGTACGTACGTTTATGCTTTTGGATGCAAATTTTTAGCCCCTTCTATTAGGAGAATTGGAGAAGATTTTTTTTTTGGCATAATTCTCTTAAAAAGAGGGGCTTAAAATTTGCATCAAAAGGCATGAAGATAGGTAAGAACCGTCTTGTCGTGATGGTTTAGTAATGCTAAGCTATTAGGGTGTTCAACACGGTTGAGGCTGACGAGCTGTATGTTGTTTGGAACGAGGATGACGCGCTTGGCATAAATGGCCCACAGCGGCTCACTACGAGCAACTGAATCTGATCAGCAGCTGAGGGCAGCCTTGATAGCTATCTACTTGCGGGGAGCCTTTCGTTGTGTACTGGAGAACACCACCACTCACCACACGCGGTGATGGAATGAACACCGTCTTAATTTTAACAGATTTGTAGAAAAAATTCCTATCGATTGGAGTATTAAGAATTAAAATCAATCGTCCCTGGATCAAAATCAGACCACTTTCATGCAGCGAACGACTTTGATTTTTGAAATTGCACCCCCAGTGTTGCCTTAATAT